GGCCGACAGCTGTGTCAAGGGCCGTACTGTTTGCGCGCATACTTTTGCACGTATAATGTTCTACGCGCAAGGTCAGGCTCTCAACCGACCATTGTTTCAGCATGTTACAGCATGCTACACACACAATGGTCGTGCTGGATGCTGCTTGGCCTTGGGCAAGTGAAGCCTACGGGCTTTGCCGTTTGTGCGCATACTTTTGTGCGCGTAATCTTATACGCGCAAGATCATACGGCCCTATCGTTCTGCAGATCGTAGCTTCAAGCATGCTACAAAGTCAATAGTGGCGCTGGATACTGCTTGGCATTGGGCCAATGACTTTGCTGTTTGCGCGCATAAACTTATACGCGCAGGATCATACGTTGTTATTCCCCAAATAGGGATAGCTATGGGGCTCTTTGTGCAAATAAGAATGAGCTGGCTGCGCGCGCTTTCGAAAGGGTGTCGGTGCTGCTTTGGTGTTGTGGTCAAAGCGCACCGGTGCTGGTGTCAGCTGATTGTGCGCGCTGTGGAGGTGCCGTAAGCTGGCTGTACAGGCTGCGTGCATTCTGGTTCCAGCCGGTCGCATGTCAACAGGTCGTGGGATTCTGCCTAGCTATCTGGGTCTATGCTGGTGTAATTTTATATGTATCTTTGCTGGGGGTAGATTTGCAGAAGATGTGACGTGTTTTTAGTGCAGCAGCCCCTGGTGGGCGTCCCTCAGGTGTTTTTGTGACGTGCTTTGTCGCTGTGATTTGGTGTTCTGGTCAGATCCAAGAAGGACATTGCTCTCGAACAAGCCACATGGGTTGTTGCATGTGCATCGTCACGCACTGTTTGTCAGGTCAAGAAAGCCGTGAACATGAAACCAGACAGCACCCCAAATTCTGGTTTGTTTGAAATAATCGTTTTGTTTTACGCTCTGACGAAATGGTCCCGAAAGGAAGATGACTTTCCTTACAAGCAGATGGTGCCATCCACTTCCATGTGATGTGTTCGTCGGAGTGGTTGGAGTGGCCCCTCAGGTCTTGGGAGCAGCTCGCAAGGCCGGTGGAGAGGGAAGACGAAGTCGTCGCCCAAACAGAGATGGTTGAATTTTGGACCTCCAAAGCTCCAGTACCCCACAAGTGGAAGGGCTGGCCCTCTCATTCTTCTAAAATAGTAACACGTGAGGTTCCTGCCTCCCAGTTGGCCTTGAATTTCTACACGAATCCATACTCTAGCTCAATTAGGGTTCGTCTGCAAGGAGTGGGAGTGAAGACTGCGCAAGTTCAAGACCGTGATTTGGATCTTGGGTGTCCAGCACTACACCTAGCCTTCCCCAGTTTGAGGGTATTGGAGGTGTCCGGTACTAAACCTGGCCCAGAGAGGAACTTTTCGGTCCCGAAGCATCCATGGAGGCTGAGCAACGTTCAGTTCACCCAAGCTGGAGACGAGTGTGCCGATGTTCCCGTCATTTCCCGTCTTCCATGTTTGATGAGACGATCACGGGGTGAGACAAACATACGGCCCCACTTGGCCTGAGTTGAATATGTGGATTCAAAAAAACTACCCCCCGCCGCCCGCCGCCCCTCGATCTGCCAACCCACCAATTATCTACATTGAACATCATGGAGCCATCCCAGACATGTGTTGTATCGTCCGATCGCGTGGCACCGATTCCGATTCCGTCCGAGGTCTCGCGTCGGTCCCGGTCCTCGTCGGAGACTGGTCGTCAGGCCGTGAGGGAAGAGGCATTGCATCTTTATCGGTGAAGAGGCCTGGTCACTGACAGGGCCTGGTCACGATGAAGCTAGCCAGGTAGCACAGAACCTGCAAAACCTTGTTTGGTGAATTGTTACTTTTTCCCCACTAGATATGATGAAGAGACAAATGGTTTTAACATGTTTTAACAATAATCTATTATGTTCTAGGGATCTCGCGCGCGGGAGTCAGTGAATGGATGGTCGTCCCAGACTCATTGCGGAATCATCTCAGCAATGCGAAGCAATTCGTCCAACCTATCACACTGAATCATGCTGGTGGATTGCACACAAAAGTCCAGTCCGGAAGGCGCAGTGAAAATAATGGAACATGATTGAACAAGGCTTTTGATCGTGGTTCTTTGTATTGTAGCTTCACATTCTATAGTCTTGACTTGCTTCTGGGATGGCCACCTTGGCTATTTGGGACAATGTGGTTCCTCCTAAATGTGGCACAAAAGTAAGGGCTCTCCTGTTCTGTGTCCAGGATTGCCGATTGTTTGCCCTGCTATGCATATTATGTTTTTGGCAAAGATGTTTGGTTTCCCAACAAAGGCCGCCTTTCAGCATTTATGCCAATCAATGATTCTTCAGCCAATGAGTTGGTCTTCTGGAAGGACAATTACCAACTGCAGATTCTTCATTGAGAGGTTCTTCACAGCCGCTCGTTACATGACTTACTGAGGTCCTGATCCGTCCTAAGTCAGTGATGGCTCAGGCCCGCATGAAGGATTCCACTGATGGTTCTGAATGTTTGTTGAGAGTTCTGATGGTAGAATTGTATTACATTATACTATATAGCTCTTCAATTCCGGCCAAGTCGCATGGTTTGCCGAAGCTGAAGTGTCGGAGCCATCGGGTCTCTCACCTTTTTAAGTGACACTGGTGCGTCCGATGTCTGCGGGGGAGCGACCCCCAGTGGTGTCAGCGGAAGCTCATCGGTCAGTTGGGTTGTGTTCCGAACTTGGAAAGTTCTGTACAGCTTTTGTGCTTGCGGATGTGGGTGAAAGGGCAGGTCTTTAAACACATGGAGTTCTGCATATAGTTCTACCTTCCAAGGATTTAGAGTGAGAAGTTGCTTGAGTTTGTTGTGCAGATGGCGGGATTCTGAAAGTCCTGTTTGATTAGGTGTCATTGTCACATTGAAGAACACGGCAAGTAATTATATATACATCACTCCTGATCACTCCTGCATCCAAAGCACTGATTGATTGGAATGTCCCAATTCCAGTTCCGAATGCCATGTCGTTCTTTTTTAACTTGACATGGCCTGGTCGTGCGCAAAAGGGTTCAGGAACCAGTTCGATGCGAGAGTTGATTCATACAAAATGTAACTCGAAACAAGGTGATAACACCAGATTGCGTGATTTCTTTGGATCCTGAGTTGTTAACTGTAACTGTGGGTTCATTATGTCTTTCCCTACGTCAGTGGAAGAATGTCGAATTTGCTTGTTGCTCAGGACTGTTGAAACATTGTAAAGCTGGCAAATGCTGGCAACACTGGATTTCAAGGGTCAAAAAAGACTACAGAGCCAACCTTGAAGACTCTGTTTTTTTTTTTCGCAGATCTGTCGAACCCAGATTTGTATGGCTCAATTAATTCAGATGGACCGAACAACGCTTCGATCCAGAGTTTCCAAGGTGTTGGTACTTTAATAAAAGTTGCTCAGACGAAGCGCTTTGCTTGTCCAGTGCTCCCTGTCCTGGCCGAACGTTTTTGCATATCTTCTGCGCCATGCCGCGCTTTAGATGTGCAGTGGATGACAATGATAGGGCAACTGAGCTGCCCTTGTTCCGCGTGTGCGGAAGTGTGGAAGAAAATCCTCACATGAGAGCATTTTGGGCCAGCATCATCTCCTTTCACTTAGCCTTCCTCGGATGGTTTGCTTTGACACCGTTGGCAATGCCAGTTGCTACAAGCATGGGGATCTGTGAAAACCAACTTTATCCACCCAGTGAATATCCCAAGGAGCAGGCATACTTGAACTACAAGAATCTGCACAATGGCTTGACCTATTGCCGATACGGTGTGGTGAGAGGTCCCAATGGGAAAGCAATCGATTGTGAAGGTCCCAACACGACGGACCATGTGGGATCCAATCTTTCGATCTATAGGCCTGAAGAACTGGCATCATGTGTTTGCACGAGTGGCACCGAATGTCGACGTGTGATTTCCCAAGGGAATCTCGCTGCAGTGGCTTCGACCATCTTGCTGCGGATTTCGATGGGGACTCTTCTGGAACGATATGGTCCAGTCAATACGCAGTGTAGCTTGTTGCTCTTTGGGGCCATTTGGCTTGCAATGTCCGCTGCCATCACTGCTCCCTGGAACTACACGCTGTTCCGCTTCTTCATTGGGATGGTTGGTGCTGCCTTTGTCACGAACCAGTTCTGGTGTTCCCTCATGTTCGCACCGAATGTGATTGGCACGGCCAATGCTACAGCAGCGGGTTGGGGCAACATGGGCGGAGGGGTTTCACAAATCTTTATGACACTCCAATTTGTTTGGAGATGTTTTTCTTCTGTTTGGGCCTTGGTTTTAAGGTGCCTTGTTCCGGCACAGAACAGAACTGGGCACCCACCCATTGCATAAGCTATCCTGCCGCTAGTAATTATACTTGTTTCAAAACCTGGCTCTTTGCAATGTTGGGACTGAAAGATCCTAATGTATATTGGGACTGGATGGAGGCTGGGAGTGCTAGTGGCCAGTGCTCTCCATACACTCAGGGAAGCTTTGTGTATCCGCAAGGTCTTTCAGTTTTTTTGAGCTCCCCGCCTCCCACGAAACGTCCAAAGGTCCAAAAACATGATAAAACAGGTGTTTCACTGCATAACAGAATTGAGAGCCAATCCAGAGCATTTCTTTTTGAAGATGGAGTCAGGCAGTTAGGTTTTCACTGAAAATCATCTCCAAAGCAGTTAGGATTTGAGCTGTTGAATGAACACACAACTAACATGGACACTCAAGTCAGAATGTCACAATGGTTGCTCGTGATAAATATCTAGTCTTGCAATCAGCTCTTTTCGGCCGATCCACATGTGTGCGAGGGTTTCCTGCTTGAGCTCCGGCCTAAGCCGGCGGAAATTATCGGCGGAAATTACCTTGAGCCATTGCACAATTGCTGCACTGTTTTGTTCAGTTGGTGCACAGCTTCTTCAGCCCAGAGCCCCCAGTCCCTGTTGTCAAGCTTCTCACTCCCAGTTGTTCCTGCCAATCTTGTCGCTCTTTCCTTCCTTAATGATCTGCCAATGCCTCGGTCTCACTCTTTGATCGGCCACGCTCTTTGTACCGAGCTGTGCTGCTTGCTCGCACAAGCGCGCCGGGCCAACGGAGTTGAACTCAGCGGATTTGGGTTCTAAGGGTTTTATATTGGTTTCAGAGTAGATGGCCATGGCTGTTAGTTCGAGTGCACTGAGGACTGCCATCCTCTTCCAACCTTTGGTGGACTCTGGGATGTCAGATGACACGGCCTGGCGCGTATCGATGTTCGTGCCCGCGTCCTTCTACATCTTATGCGCTGTGTGCCTGAAATACCTTTGTTGGGACATGCCAAGAGGGCGGCACTATGACCCGGTCATTACTGGGAAGAAAGAGCAACCTTCACTCTGGGACTATTGGGACGTTCCGAAGGATTTTCGCGTGGTGGTGATGATCTTTCAATACTCAGCTTGTTTTGGCACCGAGCTTGTGATGAATAACTCTCTCACCACGCATTTCACATCCTATTTTCAACTGGGTATGACTGAGGCTTCCCTTCTTGCAAGCTCCTTCGGGCTGATGAACATTTTCGCCCGATCTGCAGGAGGGATTCTTAGTGATCTAATGTACAGATCTTTCGGATTCCCAGGCCGAATCTGGGCACAGTTTCTCTCCTTGTTCCTTGAAGCGATCTTCCTCTTCGGTTTCGGATGTGTGGATAACTCGAATCCCTGGTTCGTGGCCCTCGCCGTGCTGGTGGGCTTTTCGCTCTTCGTGCAGATGGCAGAAGGGACCAGCTATGGGATGGTACCATTTCTGAAGAAGGAGCAGTTGGCGGTGGTCTCAGCCCTTGTGGGTGCAGGTGGGATGAAGAAGGGAAACGAAGTCAGGAACGAAGGAAGCAAGCAAAGTTGCCAGATATTTTGTTGACTTAAAGATATTCAAGAAGCATCACAGTGGACAGGTGATCCCAACATATCCCAACTAGGAGGAGTTGCAAACACATGGAAACAGCGTAGTTGCAAGATAAGAGTTGCCCCATTGCGATTTTATCAGACCGAGAAGGCTTTTGCGGGCTGCACCCACAGGACCCCTTAAAGGCTTTGCCAACGCACACGCGCTGAGACAACGACCGCTGCAAAAAAAGGTGGTTCACTCTAAACAAGACATCAGGACTGCTGACAGACATGATCACAGTGAAGGATCGCTAATAACATTTGTTCAACAATGACCATGGGCCCCCACTTTGGTTTCCTTGCATGACTCTAGCACGAAGCCCATGTTTCATGCATTGTTCATGCAGCATGACACAGCATGACGGACCCTGCTGTGTCATGCTCTTCTCTTAGTTTTTGCGAATGGAAGTGCAGCGACACGTACAGTGCAACTTGTACATATAT